GGAAATAAAACTTCAATACATACAAAAGTTTTACCTGAAGGTAAATAAAAACAGAACTTGGATTATTTTAAAATTTCATTATTTTTGAGATTCATTATTTTTCTATGTTAATGGCAACACGGCCTATATTTTCTAGAAGAAAAGACTATCACTGACGTTTTACAGGTGCTGTAATTCACATTTTCACAGTGTTCCTGAGTATATGAAAACTACATTCATATATTAACGGCTCTCAATCTTCCTCACAAAGTGAAATACATCATAACAGAGCACTTTGGCGTCATTTTTCTCACAGTTGTAACTGTAAGGAGGGCAATTTCTTCATTCACCCAAGATGTCTTTAGCTTTCACATGAACTATTTGAACAGAGAACATGTATTAGAGAAATACAGACTGGATTTAGTTCTGAAAGCATGAATTTTTTTTTTTAATAGTTAATCAGTACCTTTTATTTATTCTACCCTTTATTTATTCTTTTATTTAGTCTATCAGAAACAAGGCAACTCACCCCCTGAAAAGATCAAAACAAAAAGGAACCCCTCCATCCCCCCTGAAAGATCATGCTGTCTTCTGCAGACAATCTTTAAGGTGTGGAGCAGACAGAGAACTTCTGCTACAGCCAAAGGGCTTAAGCCAGCACAATGCAGAAAGGCCCCTTCATTCCACAGAAAGGCACTGACCATACCATGGCAGATTCTATTTTGGCCTATAGGATTACTCTACGGTGTAGGTTATGAGACTACAAACATGTACACAGTGCTAATTTAAAATTTTTAAAGTTAAAGCTTCATCATTTGAATCATGCAGGGTCTAAAGGTCTTTTGTTTAAGTAATTCATGGGCTGGAGGTTTTGCATATGCTGACTGCTGACCAAACAGGTCATTACACTCCACTTACTTACAAGGCCATTTAAAGTTGCAAAAATTGGTTGGGTAGGAAGACGGTAAGAATTGGAGCAGGGGGGGCGGGGGGGAATCACCTGGAGCATTTACAGTTGATCGTGTCAACTTACAGTCACATGTTAAATTTACATATTGCCATTATTTAAAGCTTTTTAAGCACCAGTTGGCTTTCTTTACAATCACATTACCCTGCTGTGATAATTCATGTAAATACTTACAGACCACATGCATAAACAGAAAAGCATTTTCTCAGATATAGGTAATATAAGAAAAATGTTTATTTCCATTCCTCCAACAAATGGAGTTTTACAGAAGTGGCCGACAAATACTTGTCCATCGTGGAATTTTCTGAGTTCATGGTAATACTGGTGAATGCACCCACATTTGCCTCCTTGTATGGTGCACAATACTTTGCCCCTCATCATTATATTACTTCTCCCTTGCAGCTAACAAGGGATTTGTCTATTATGACAGAACTCTAGTCATTCTTTTGAGAAGAGCAACGAGCCAGCAAGCAGGACACTCCCACAGTTTCATCTCTGCAGACTAAAGTAGGCAAGGGAGAAATTACACTACCTTAATTGATATTTTTAAGCTTCTCTCAGATAATGAGGCCCGTTTGGAAATTCTCTTCTTCTCCAAACAATGTTTGATCATTTTAGAATAGCTGAATTCTTGACTTGGCCAAATCAGCATCAATAAACCAAAAGAGCAGTCTCCAATTTATTTACTCATTGGTTTTCCTCTTGTGGAACTGGGTTGCAGGATTT